CGTGGCCGAGAGAGAGAGAGAGAGAGAGAGAGAGAGAGAGAGAGAAACTTTTAATATCTATTTATTTGTTTATTCGTCCAAAGGTTACAAATAGTTTCTTTTCTTGTTATCTCGTCGTAAATAAATAATTATAATTATATTTTTCAGTGAAAAACTCTCAATTAAGTTTCCGGCCTCTGGATCGGGATAGCTCTGCCTCTAACAGAGCTCAGCCTACCATTCAGTTTCTGAAGATATATCAAAATCGTGTGTTTTCTGGCGATAACTGAGAGGTTAATGGTATTTAATTTATTCACAGATAACACAGAGTGATCTCTCCCTCTCTCTCTCCCCAATTCTAAGCCATGGGTTTTTGTCGGAGCAATACATACGTAAAACCCGGCACACAATCGGCCGATCCCTATGAGGGCTGAGGGCAGCGCCCATTCACTCCTCTGTTTGGGTCCTAATTGTAGTTTTGTTGGGAAAACCCGTTAAACAAAAATCATGTATTGATTTCTCGCTATCGACTACAAGGATGTGCACAAGAATTGGCTTTAATTTTGTGTTTGTCAATTTGTTTTGATATTTGTTTTTAATGTATGTTTTCTTAATTTCTAAAATGATCCAAAAATATAGATTAAAAAACTAAATTTTGTCATTTTTTGTACCGGTTTAGACCGCATTAACCACCGGTTCCCATAAATGATCGCATATTTATTATAGCATATATAAACTTATTATTTATTTTAAATTAAATATAAAAACATTGTTTAATTTATTTTACTATTCAATTAACATTTTAGACTAAGATCTTAGACAATGGGTTATAATTTATAATTTATAACTTATAAATGTATAATTTTAAAACAAAAAAAAGAGTTGTACTGTAATGTTGTTTATAAATAAAATATACTTTTCAGTATAAAAATTAATAAATTGTTGACAAATAATTTGCGATAATAAGTGATTATAATTATGAAATGAAGGACTAATACATGACATCAATAGCTTTTGAGGAAAAATATTACTTCCTTTTGTTGTGAACAAAAAGACCGGAGTTTTTATGAATTGAAATAAATACTCATTCATATGGTGTTTACGGCACTAACTCTTAAGTTATAAATATTATCACTAAATATATGATGAGATAATTATTTGTTTAATTCCCAAGCAGTCTATACTTTCTCTATAGAAATACCAGATATTGTGTATTGATATCTGTTTTGGCGGAGAATATATTCTTAAACTATAACCAAAAGTATAAATAACATAATTATAGATATACTTTATATTATGACTACTTTTATCACTAATAGTATAGTTAATTAGTGTATTAAATAATCTTTAGACCGGAAAACGTTGGAAAAATGTATCAATTTATGAATGAAACTAATTGTCTCAATTGGTGTCTTCACTATTCATGTCATATCATACGAACGAAACGTGATTTTGTTTGTATTTTTGTGTTTCAATTCATTCAATGATAAAACAATGGGAATATGTATTGAGGTCTCAAAACATCCTGTCTTTGAGATCAGATGTGAAGTAAAACTTTCAGAAATATATAAAAAGCTTATGTTTTAATAAGTGATTGCAATTATTATCTAATTATTCACTAATTGATTGATATTTAATTTTAGGTTATTTCCATTGATTAGGAAATTGATAAAATTTTTCCACACTTTTCTTGACTTAATTATAAATATTTTGTGACATTTATTACATTTTAAATATTTGTTTATTTAAAAAATTGTTTTTTACAAAAATTCCACATTTTTTTCAATAAACATAAGAAACAAAATTCTTTGAATGTTTTAAATAATCTTTTAATATGTAGTCATATATTATTGGAGAAAATAGAGAAATATTTGCCAATTTTTAAAATAAATTATGCCTTAATATGTGGTCTAACTTACAATTATTGACAATCGGTAATCGGATTTCTATATTATTTTCAGGATTATATGAATTGAAAAACTTATTTTGTGCTTAAAATTTATAGGAATTTTAAACTTATTGAATGCCATGTTTTCTAATAACCGGTTAGAGGACTAGAGTTTCAATTGTTTTCAATGTTTGGCCATAAGTTTAATAGGATTTTCTGTTTAGACTAAGAATTATAATGAGATTAAAGCGAGGATTCAGTCAATAAGAGTAATGTCTGTAAGAAAACAATTATTTCGTAACACAATTGGGTATTATTAGAGGGAAACAAGCGATCTATTGGTACTTCCAAGCAATGTCTCAGCTGTTTGTCAAATGTATTGATTGATTATTTGCCACAAATGAGGGGAAATCCCAACTAATTATTTCAATCAACAAAATATATTTAATTTTGGGTAAAACTGGTGAAAGCAATTTGTAAGCCAATGTGTAAACAATTTATGTCTGAAAAGCAAATATATTTCATTTCTTTGAATGACGTTTGGTGTGAAATATGACATATTTCTATGGTTTTCAATGCAACTTTTTTCTTACGATCAATTCTTGTTATAAAATTTGGTTTAAATTTAACTAAAATGTGTATATAATTGTTATATTTGTAATTTAATTATAATTACATTCTGTAGTTAAACATGAATTATAAAAAATACTAAAATATAATCTTTTAAATAGTTTAAATATAAAGTATATTTTTATGAATTATTGTTTTAATGTCTATCTATGATAATCTATTGGCGAAAATGTTTGGTTCATTTATTTTGCTCTCAAAATTTAAAGGTCTCAATAAATGAGCGCCCGTTTGATCCGGTTTTGACAGGTCTGCGATGTCTGTGGATATAACCATAACAGCAGTTATAACTTATAAGATACCATTTTATCTTAAAATACACATCATTTGAGTTAATATTATATATGATTTCTAACTCATTGAAGAATATTCTATAAAATTGTTTATTTTATTAATATATCACATGTTTATTGTATATTTAGGAAATGTATTTTTATTTAATATTAATTTTATATAAGAGTTATACATTATCTTACAATCTTGTTAGTTATAAAGTAGTAATACAGTAATAATATTAATTCTTAAATAGTTTTTAAGAGTTAATAACCATATAAACCAATTTGATCTAGCTTATTATTAAAACATTTAATACTGAATAAAACACTAACTATTTAACTATTAAACTAAGAACATATAAAAACTATTTATTTTGTTTTGTTTATAGATTTAATAATTAAAATATATATATATATATAATTTTTCCTGTTTCTCTATAATTTGTTAAATAAAATACTCTCAATTAATATTCCTTCACATGAATTATATTTAACTACTATATTAAAGACTACTGTATTTATAATTCACAAAAAGTTATATTGATAACTAGATATTTATCTAATGAAATATATGGCATAACTTGAAACCAAGAGTATTGATGTCAATAACAATCAAGTTTTCATAATTTTCTTCACTGCTAAACACTTTTGTTTCAAAATCCAGAAAAATCTACTTTTTTGATGAATGAAAAGCAAATACTCGATAAAAATGTTTACCAAAAATACGAGCTCTCAATAAAATAATCTCTCAAATAGTTATTATATAACGATATCATTGATTCCCAAACAGTCTCTTATATTTTGTTTCGTTTAATTCATGGAAAACATCGAAGAAATGAATTCATTTTTACTAATGTTTATGTCATTTATTTTATGAATCAATTTGTGATAAAAAGAGTAAACATCTAAATATAAATTATATAAAGTAGTATTATAATGTAGTTTATAAAGTAGTTATTATATACAAATTATATCAAACAACATTTCCATAGACTCAACGTAAATTTACATCCCATTTAATTTCAATTTATTTGTAAACTGGATAATTTTTAAAAAATTAACTAGTTGATGTTTTGTACTTACACTTTACCTATTTCACATTTTTGTTAGACAACTTTGGGTTGGAGCACCGGGAGGTTTTTAGCAGATAAACATTTAGCACATAAATTCTTTGATTTTAAAGTTACAATTACACTATTCAGGAACTATATAAATATGACAAATTATATATTAAATGAATGTGACATTATCATAGTACAAATTCGGCGAATTAGATTTAAAATACTTATTAAAATAATTTAGTACACTTAAATAAAATCACAAATGATTAAGAATTAAATAAATACAGTATTTAAAATACTCTCCATCATACAATTGAAGAAAACATTGTAAATTAATACCATAAATATATTTTACATTATTCATTTATTGCTTATTTTATAATCCATCAAATCTAACTAACCTTTCGAAATATGTTTTAGTAAATTTGAGATAAAATTAGAATATTTTTAAGTACTACAGTATATATATTTTATTTTATTTAAGGTAATACTAAAACTTTGCAAAATTATTAATCTCAAATTTGGTCATAATTATAATTAACTAATTGCTAACTAGTTTAGACTTAATTATTTTCATGTACCTTAATGACAAATAATAACAAACATGAAGTTTGTGTTTGCATTTAAGGCACATGTTTGATATATCATTAGGATTATAAGGTTTTCTATGAGTTTTATTGCTATTCTATTAAAGCCAATGATAAAACAATGATTTCGTATTGTATTTCATATAATGTTAACAATTAGTTCACAATTACCTGATAATGACATTATTTTTAACTAAAGTTCTGTTTCATGTTTTGTTAATAAAATAATTGTGAAACTTAAAAAGTCTGGAAGTTTTTAAACAATTGACACAAGTTTTAAAATTAATTTAAATAATGAATAAAATGTTTACTTTTGTTAACGACTGAATTACGTGAATATTCCTTATAATGCAATAAATTATAATAAAATGTCATTTAATAGTCAACTTAACAATGAATACAAGAAGTTATCTAATTTTAATAGTTGTGATAATTTTATTGAAATGTATTAATTCTCAGTTTGTATTCCCATTTGCGCGTCGTTTGGCATACCGGGGAGGTTTTGCCCGGACACAAGTCCGGCCCAGACTAGCCCTGGGCGTAAGGGATGCCATATTTGCTATCAACGCATTTTGTGGTAAGTTTTCTACTATTGGATAAGACATTTTATCAAAAACATTTTATTAAATAAATAGTTAATTAATAGTTAATACGCTTAATATTGTTAATTATTAATATAATTAATTGTAATTTTATTTAAATTGATTGGATTTATAACGTGGTAATTACTAGACGACAGTTGTGCGAGTGATCTCCAACAGCAACAGGTGTCCAATTGTGTCCAGAATGGCATCAATAACGGCGCACAGATCGTCAACATATTGAGATCCTGTAGTCCCGGACCCGACATATCATGCAATCGACAGCAAAGGCCGCGAACTAATCGGTGTCTCATTCAGAGGACTGTTAACCGAAGAAATCTAATGAATCGTCGACTTCAACGATGTTTTCGGACAACCGTTAGTTTGGCCACAATTGACTGCCTCACCAATAAGTACCGCATTCTAAGGACATTACTTCCTATACCTCCCGGACCTCCCGGTTCTGTCGTCACATCCAACTAACAAATTGCAAAATATATGAAAGTCAGTTAAAATTGTATTTATTATTTATTGTATTTGTTATATTGTATATAATAACTAATTTATTAAAATTTAATTTAATTATTGATAATAATTATTATTAAACAAAGAATTGCTTAGTTTATAAATATGGGTGAAATATAATTGACATAATGTATTATTTTAGTACATTTTCTACTTTAGTTTTGTTTAAATACTAACTGATTGTCGATTAGATTTACAATAAAATATTTTGAGTCCTTTTATGAAAAGAGAAGTTTATGTTTGCGTTTTAAACACATGTTTGTGTGATATAAAAATTGTATGGTTTTCTATGAGTTTATTAGTACTAAAGTATTAAAACAATTGATAAAACATTGATTTGATATTGTATTTCACATCATGTTTAACAAGTTGTCCGTAATTAGCCATTAATGACATTGAATTGAAAAATACAATTAGATTTTTATGTTTTTGCTAATAAAAAATAATTGTTTTAATAGTTGGAACTTTAAGGTCAATTAAATATACTCACTATATATAGTAATTTACATTGATCAATTTTTAGTAATTATGTAGAAAAATTGATTTTTAAAACTTAAATTAAAAATGTTTATTTTTATTAACGATTGAAATATAATGTAAAATTTATAATGCGATAAACGATAGCAAAATGATATTAAATAGTATATTGTATAATGAATACAAAATTTTATTTAATTATAATACTAATACTTGAGCTAACTTTACCAAAAGCAATTAGACCTCTTTTTATATTTCCATTTGCGGGCCGTTTGGGGTTTAGGCGGTTTAGGGGTGGGTTTGGCGGACCCAGACTGGCCCGCGGGGTCAGGGAAGCCATATTTGCTTTCAACGCATTTTGCGGTGAGTTTTATAAAAAAACTTACTTTTTTGTCTATAAATTGCTAAATTATAAAAAAGGTAAAAATGTGTAAAATGTGAATCATTAGACAACAGGTGCGCGACTACAGCTCAACAGCAGTCTTATATCAATTGCATACAGAATGGTATCAATAGAAACGCGCGAATCATCCCTATATTGAGGCGGTGTAGCGGATCCACGGGAGCGACCATATCATGCAATCGCGGCCGAAGACAACAAACAAACCGATGTCTTATTCAAAGGTCTAGAGGCCGACAAAATCTAATGAACTTTCGACTGCAACGATGTTTCCGGACAGTCGTTAGTTTGGCCACAATTGACTGTCTGGTCAATAGGTATCGAGGCTTACGGACATTACTTCCCTTACCTCCCGGACCGGCGGGTCCTGTAGTGGGCGGAGGCGGTGCCGCTCGACTCCCGTCTCGCAAGAAGTCATCGAATGCTGTGAAAAATCAAAAGAAACCTCAAATCAAAACTCAAAAGAAAAACCAAATAAAACCTAAAAATCAAAAGAAAACTCAACCAAAAACTCAATCAAAAAATCAACCAAAAAATCAATTGAAAATTAAATCAAAAAATGGCTAATTATTAATTTTACAAATGAATAGCTTATTGAGTTTGTAAATATTTTAATGTTTTTAATTAATAATTATTAACGTTTAACTATTTTTCATAAATATTAGTAATATTTTAATTTATAAAATATAATGTTTATAATACAATTAATACCTGTAATTGACTTAAACTACTCTGTTTTATTTTATACATTGTAATAATTGAATTTTATTAATACATTATAAGAATATGATTTTGATGGGTGCATTTGATTAAAGTCGGTAAAATTCAAGACCTTATTTAAGACCTTATGTTCTACTGGAAAAATGTACCAGAATTTACCACATGAACAGTTTTTTATGTCCAATTTTTACTACAATATCAAACTAATTGCTGTTAGGCTGACCAGATGTACTCTTTTTAGAGGAATTCTTTTCTATTTGAACTTCATTTGAGCTTCTCCTCTGAAATTCCTTTTTTGTTTTTTTAAAAAATACAAAAAATCACTCAAATGTGCAATAAAATCAATGTAAAAAGCTGTATCCTATTTTTATCCTCTATTATTGCTAAAAATTTGGTAAAATATCCTTTTTTTCTAAAATGGTATCTGGTCACTCTAATTGCTGTACAGAGTCTGAGAAAAATAACATACGATTTAGTGCATTGAGATTATGCCTTAAAACTAGTTAATACTGTTATAAATGGTTATAAGAAAAGTCATTGCATTAAAACATGAAAAATGACTGAAAATACTACACAAAAGACATACAGAGTATAAATCAATATATAATATCATGTCAAAAGTGGATTAAATTCAAGGCTATCTAATCGATGGCACACCTGGACTGCAGATTCAGACATATGGATCATTTTTACCACGTTTTCGGCCACATTTGCAACAGTTTTAAAAATTTCATAAGAATTTTTCAGTTTTAATTTAAAACTTTTAAAGCAATTGATTAATTTATATATTGTTTTAATAATTGGATATTCATTGAACATTGTTTATAGTCATCAATATTGCAAATAATAAGCAATTTTACATATTTTCTGTTGATTCAGTGAATAACATATCAAATTTTGAATATCCTGTTAATATTGGATTCATATTCAATATACATTTCAGTACTTATAAAGTAAACGTAATATTTAGTTATTATTATATTTTAAACGTCAAACAATTGTAGGAAAATGTGTGGAATTTTTGCTGTTTTTAATTATTCCGGAGATATTAAGGCATTCAGACAGCGGGCACTCTATCTCTCAAGAAAGTAAGTTTGCTTTTAATTGCAATTCATTTTGTATTATAAATTAAGTTAAATTTATAAATTATTTATCTAGTAGTTATTTATACATTGAATAAAGTATAAATTTCACTATAATTTTAAATATTTATAGATTTTATAGCGGAATAGCATTTTGAGAATTATTTACAGTAATTAATGTAAAACTAATTTGAGTAATAATTGTTGGTTAGGATCCGCCACAGAGGGCCTGATTGGTCGGGATGTATAGTGACGGACAACCATATCTTCTGTCACGAAAGGCTGGCCATCGTTGGCGTGGACTCCGGCGCCCAACCGATCACTAACGCCGACAACAGTATTATACTTACGGTTAACGGAGAGATCTATAACTACTTAAACCTGAAGAAACTGCTGAACGATCCGCAGCCATACGTCACTCAATCTGATTGCGAAATCATTTTGCATTTGTATCGCGAAATCGGCGACAAAGTGGTCGACCATTTGGACGGACAGTTCGCTTTCGTCCTCTACGACAAGCGGACTAATCGTCTCATAGCGGCCAGAGATCCGATCGGCATAACCACACTCTACTACGGCTACGACAGCCGATCGCCCGGAACCGTGTATTTTGCATCCGAAATGAAATCGTTGAACGAAGAGTGCGACCGTATACTAGCCTTCCCTCCCGGCCATCTGTACGACTCCACCACCGGTCAGATCAGACGCTGGTTTGATCCCAACTGGTGGTCAGAGGAGGTGATAGCGAGCGCGCCGTTGGATCTGACTTTATTGAAGCGAAAACTGGAGCATTCGGTCCGCAAACGGCTTATGTCTGAAGTTCCGTACGGAGTGCTCCTCTCCGGTGGACTGGACTCCAGTCTCATCGCCTCCATTGCCGTCAGAGAGACCCGAAAGATCACCGGACGGAAGACGTCGCGGGCGGTGAGAGCGCCGGCTATCGCCGATATGGACGACGGGAACAGCAGTAAC